GGGCCGAAGGGCCTGTACTGTGCTGTACAGTTCTATGTTCTATGTATGAAACCAGGCCTTCTGAGGAAGGGTCACCGGACCCGAAACGTTAACTCTGATTTTTTTTTCTTCACAGATGCTGCCAGGCCTGCTGAGTTTTTACAGCAATGTGGTTTTTAATAATTACGGGTTTGATATTGGGGAGCCTGAACAGTGGCTGGATTTCTGAAGTTTCTGCTGTCTGTTTCATAGTCAATTACTTTAGCACCCTTCAAATTGGAATCTTCCTTATTGCATATGAATCTGAAAGGGTTAATCCCTGATTGAGTGCACGAGCACCACCCACTGTAATGATATCATGGGGACTTGGTCAGAGATGAAAGGAGGAGCTGTAGGAGACAGACCTTTGGCTAGAGTTGTAGTAATGTTGATTATATTTGTGTACGCTGTAAATAGTTGCAAGGATGCAATATACTTGTTTACTCAACAGCCTCTTCTGCTTAGACCAGGGAGGTGGACATTTTAATCCACACTAGACCACTTCAGACTTGAAGAAACCAACACACAACAAGTTGGCAACAGTGGGTAACTACATGATTGGGAGTTTAGTGGATGGTCTTATTGTTTGCCTAGTGTTAAATGAAGCACCGAACAGATTTGAAAGGGTCTTGGAAGCCATTAATAAATATTTCAACCTTCAATCTAATAAAATTCTTGAAAGGTCAAGATGCAACATGGACAATTTCAATAATGATCTCTACAGTCTGGTGGAGATATTTATTACAGTCCATAAAAGATCTGACTCACGAGAAAGCCATCGAGATGTTTAGTGAAGCTGAGGTCTGGAAGCAAAACACATCAATCCTAAGAGGAGAAGATAAAACGTGATACAGGAGATCTCCAAATGACAAATCATCAAACCAAGGCAAGGGTAGGGCAGCCACTAGAGTCTTTGTCAATGCTGTAAAGCAAATAAAGATTCAATAGCAGAAACTGCAAGCATTCAAAAGCTCTTGTGTAAATGTGATTATTTGTTTTCCTTGAAGATCATGGGAAATTGTAGGCAGGAGAAACTGAAGTTCAGGAACTCAACCAGGCTGTCAGCGATTACTGGGATGGGATGGGATGGGATGTTGGGTCTGAGTGGGATGGTCATCGAAGGATCGGTATGGACTCAATGGGCTGAATGGCTAGCTTGCACACTGGGATTGTGTGGTTACTGCATGTCAGTTCAGCTGCTGTCTTCATATTGAACACATAAGCTCGTGGCATCATCTATTGGTTCTTACAACTAACACTGCATTATACCATTCCTCCTCTTAATACCAGTGACTTCACATATATAGAGCCTGCTATTTGTAACCAGGAGCCAACAATGGTTGTTATCATTTTAATAGATGTTTTCTATGATTTTTAGTGAATTTAGGAAGGGAAAAAAATAACTTGTCTGACAGAGGGAGAGGGTGCTTTGAGGAAAAGTGTTCTCATGCAGTGAGTGGAATGCATTACCTGAGATTACGGTACGAGCAGATTCAATCAAGGTTTTCAAGAGAGAATTGGATTGTTGGGTGAAGTGCTCAGTGCAGAGTCAGTACAGATTTGATAGACTGAATGGCCACTGCCTGTGCTGTAACCATTCTATGATTTTAGGATACCAAGAAGAATTCCTTGCTGTACCTGAGCAGGTGGATGGTACCTCCAAAAAATGCAGCACTCTCAGTGTCAGCCTCAGTTTTATGCTCAACCCCTGCACTGGACTTGAACCCAGAAGCTTGTGATTCACTCTTCACATGAAAGCACAACCAACTCAATAAACAAATGCTCACTTAGTTGACATGGATCTATTTGCTGTTTTTGATTCATGGATATTAAGGCATTTGATTCAAGTTAACTGACAATTAAGGAAGAGATTTGGAAAGGGTAATAGGTGGGCTCCTGGCAGAGTCCACAAGATTAACGCTGGGAAGGGTGGTTAGGACAGGTAGGATTTAGACAACTCACCTCCCAGAGGGCACGGTGAGTCGGAAAACAAGCCAGAGAGCAGTGTGACAGTGTAAATGTCACAACTTTAATAACTGTTTACGGATTGAAAGAATCGGCAATAGTTCTGGAATAAACAGTTTCTCGAGATGGAACAGACAAGGAGACACTGTTATAAAGAAAGAATGCACAGCAGCATGTGAATTAGCTAGCTCCTGGAAAAGAATTGAAGCAACATAATCTGTTTCCTGGGAGAAAAGAGATAACAACAGCTTTGACAGCTGCTTGATAAACAGGATTATTCATTGCCACAAAGAATAAGGATTGCCCTGCAGAAGAAGTTAAGGGTTTAATTACAGGAAAACCTCTTGTTTTAAACTGACAGCTAACCTCGAATGTAACAAAGAACAGAGGAGCTACTTCTGATTAGAAGGCAAGCTACAAGCATGAGGTCTCTAAAAGGATAATCGATGTTGGTGATGAGAGAATCTATTGAATCATCTGTAATGTCACATTACAAACTTGAAAGAGAGAAAATTGTAAAAGAATGCAACACCAGAACAAGTTAGTAGCAGAACTGCACTGCAGAAGGATCAAACCCTGGGTCTTTCCAAACACAGACACTGTTGGTGGAATCCTGGCCAGATTCCATCATTAATCGGGTAATAGCCAAATTGAGCTGTGAGGCTT